CTTATGTGTATTCTGTGAGTCAGTGGGGAATTGTTGGTTCTGTCGTGGGAGAAGAGAAGTCTGTCTGTGGGTTTTTTTCTCTCTTCAGCTCTCTCAGTAAATGGGAAGCCAGATGGGTTTTTATAGGAAAAAAGCGGCTTGTTCCCCAAGCTTATAACAGTGTCGGTTATGGGTCTAACCGGTCTGAGTTGGGTCAGACCGATGTGGGTTTGCTCATACCTAATTTTTTGACCGGTTTGACTTTGTTGACTGGTTTGATTGAGGGTTGACTTTGACTTTAATTGGGCTTGGTTTTGGGTTTTGACATTGTTGACCTTTTTGTTGACCCGAATTTGGGCCAGTGTAGAGTGGGCTTGAAGCCAATTTATTTTATTGTAGAATTGTAATTTGTTTAACGTAATAGCAAATTAGCGGTGTAATTAATTGTAATAACGTTTTTAATTATTTGGCATTGTAGCTATCTTAATAAAATTGTTATGGCTCCTATTTTTTATTTAGAAATCGCGATTCAATTCTCACAAGACCCAACGTCTTAAGAATCAATTAATTCGCATGACAATCAAAATCAAACTCAAGCCTAATTCGTCTAAACGTGTCAACTCATCGCTAATGAATTGTATCAACTAAGATTAGCTTTTGCTAATTAATCTCATTGAATTATGGCAAGCAAGACCCAACCCAAGCACTACAATTACGTTTAAGTTAGAAGATCATTCGAGATTTGCTATTGCAAATCTTAAAATGAAACTAAATTTTAATTGATTAAATATGTTTTAACCCGGACAAAAAGTGATGTCTACACATGGTATCTCGATCCAAGCCTTTGGCAAAGTACTATACAATCTGCTCCGATGTGAATCCATGATGAGGGCATGCCTTGATGTACTCCTAGAGTCTCCTCCAAGAATCATAGAAAGTTTTTCCTTCCTTCTATTGAAATTGAGTAATGTCATCTTTAAGCTCCTCCATCTTCCATGGTGGAAAGTACTACTAGATGAATGCTTGAGCCAGGTTCTCCAATGTAGTGAAGATGTATGATGGGTGGTAATCAAGCCACTGCTTTTCCCAAGTAAGAATGGGAAGAGTCGTAGTTGAATTCCATCTTTGGTAACTTCATCTCCTGGAATGTAATCGATGATCTCCAATAATAACTTTAAGTGTTGCAGATGATCATCACTGATCCTTTTTCGAATCACCCAGTTTTTTGCATCATTTGGATTAGCAGAGTATGGATCTCGACGTTGGTTGGTGGCGCACCAATGTTTGAGGTGATGTTTGATGCTCTTGGCCTTGAGTACTCATAAAGAGTAGGTGGGATGGCCACTTGTCTTTTCCTTCTTCTCCATCCATTGATGGTGTTGAAGAGGATCCGTCTTCTTCTGAATCGAAGTCGCATTCTTGGTCATTGTTCTCCTCATATCCCAACCTTAGCTCGTCATTGGTGTGTCTTGAAGGCTCCTCTTCACCTAAGCTATATGCTCTTTCCTTCGTCTTACTGAAGGGTGAACTCGAAACTTGAAGAATATGAAAATATACAAATCAAAAGAAACTTAAAACTAAACATAATATGGTTAGATGCTTTTATATGTTATTAGAATTCCCCGGCAATGACTCCAAAAACTTGATTGTCGATATCGAGTTATAATCCTAGGATGTCTTAGGGTGATATTCCACAAGGTCTTCTAATGCACAACTATACACACCATACCATCTATGTTATACCAAATAGATAAACATCTTTAGGGTTTTTCATTGAATCAACAAGCAAAGGATCTGGAAGCAAGGAAAAGTAATTTTGTTTAGGGTTTTTAATTTATAGATGCATAAAAGTAAAGATAAGTTATTGTACAAGAAGGTAAATCTACATTAACATCATGCATACTAAGGCTAAATCATATAATGCATCAATGAAACATCTATAGGATGACCCAACCCGTTCCACTAAAGCCACTCTCTTCCCCTGCATGCGCCTCTTGTGAAAAAGATTTAACAAGCTAATGTGTGTTTTCGCTTCATGTCATTTCCTGATTAATGAAGAATAAGGAATTTAGGATAGCATATGATGATGTGTGTGCCTCTATGATCCATAATCGATGGTCAATAGCATTGATACTACTCGAGATATAGATGGTTGATCATCATGAACATTGAAAATATGCAATGCATGCCCCACACTTAAGAGACATATTGTCCTCAATGTGGGAGCTATACATAATTTCTATGAGGCGTTACCATTATGGTTTTATGGGTTAGAGAAGGTGCACAAGTGTAGGTCTGCATTAATCTAGATATTTGACTTTCAAGTGAACACAAAAGAGAAGGAGAAAGGGTTATCCATACTAAATATATCGAAACTCTCTGGTCCTCCCTTGGTGGTTTCTTCTTCAAGTTCACGCCTGAAGGTCCCATGTTTGTGGTTGAGATCTCAAGGATGGAGGTTGCAATCTTTATTCTGAAATTTGTGTTGTTACTTTCTGGCCGTGATCTCCTAACTTTGGTCGTGATCTCTCATTTTGGCTCATTTTCCCAAACTTGCAACCCATTTTCGTAGCTAAAACGTATGTATCATCGAATACACCTTAAAATGATATAATAATCTTCAAGGAACGGATTTGGGATACATTTGATGAATTATCAAACAATGAGACCATGAAATAACTTAAAACGACCCTAACATAGAGGCTAAATAACATCATTTTTGGTGTTATCATATAGGAGCGCTTCTTGAGGAGGTCGTGCATTATTTCGCGATTCATAGTGTGTTTAGTCTACGATTTGTAGGTCGACACAGTAATAGGCCCACTTGGTGGCTAGAAAGGTCATTCATTTGTACCCGACTACGAGTCGTTTCTTTAATTTGATGGCCTGGTTAAATATCAACTAGTAATTATCTATTTTTTCTGATCAATATATATTAAATTATCTTTTGTCAAAAATAAAAAACATAAAAGATTAATTAAAGAAATAAAAACGGCAGCCACATGTGGTGTGACGACCCGACAATTAGGGGCAAGCAACTAAATGCATGCAAGATATTCTCTGAGAAAACAAAATTTATTCCCATAATTCCCCACGATCCGACCTCCTTATCCCGTCCTCCCATATATTGATATATATGAAATGAATGTTGGAAAAGCAATGAGGCAATTGTTTAAGAGTACAAGAGAGAGCAAACCAACAAGCCATTGTTGGTTCAGGAGCGATCGAGCTAGCGCAACATGGTTTGTGGGGAGGTGGGTCGTATCCCTTTGGCTGTTTTGTTGGCTCTCTTGCTACTAATGGCCGCCAGTGGTGCGGAAGCGGTGGCGGCCAATTCTATCAAGCCCACGAAGCTGCAATTGCTTTATCCGAACTGCAGCAGCAGCAATGTGTACCAAGGGAGGTGGGTTCCGGACAGAGCACTAATTACCCTCTCTACGACTCTTCGGCCTGCCCTTTCATCCGGAGAGAGTTCGATTGCCTCAAGTACGGGCGGCTGAACCATCAGTACTTGCACTATCGATGGCAGCCTTCCGACGCCGGCTGTACTTTGCCCAGGTAAAACAACAATTGATCATCCGCACAGCAATTTGTGTTTTTTTTTTGCTTTTGTGATTAAGAAAGAAACAAACTGACATTCATTCATTCGGTTGGTAAATAACGTACAACTCCAAACCTCTTTTCTACAAAACAAACCCGTCATTCCGGGTTTTATTCTTTTCGAGAACAAAAAATTAATTAAAGAGTCAACTTCATGGGTAGAGTCAGTAAATACATCTGTCTAACCGGTAACGCAATAGCAGCTGGTGATGATGATGATTTCGTCTCTCTCATTACTATGCTTTTCTGTCATTGAATAATTAATAAGGGAATGCGTGTGTGTCTATAATGGCCGCCTCTATATATTGCCTGCGCTGCGCTTCCACGTCTCTTAATTTTTATATTCACATGGTTTGCTGAACAATATTGCATCACCGTGAAAACCATCTAAAGAGAGCGACCTAGTCCGCGACTCAGTTCCAGATTCGGTAATCTCGTTCTTGTTGTTGTTCCGTTCCTAACAAGATGATCTTCAGCTTGGTATGGTACACAAATATAATGAAAAAATGATTTTATGTAGTTAGTATGGCGGCGACATAATATTAGTTGATTGAATAGATTTGTTAGCAATAACTATCGTGTTTGTGATAAATATAACTATAACTATCGGAAAACACAAAATAGTCTAAAAATCGGATGGTAGTGTGACAAATCTAGTCATTCCCGTAAGAAATTTTAATGGTGTTAGAAACACCGTCAATCCAGTAGTGATACGGTGACTAGGACGCCAAATCAACGCACACGCCATCAGCAATCAACAACAAATAGATTACATTAAAATATTTACTTTAAAAATTTGATCATAAAATACAAATAAATAAATAAATAACCAGCGAGACCTTCCCTTTCCCTTCCTCCCACACCCACCGCGAATCTTAGCTGCAGAAATCTTCACCTGGAAAATTTTACCACTAGGGCGTCGATGTGGGTTTGGTTACGGCAGAGCTCGACCCTAATATCACTTTCAGCCTTCTCTCACGGTGGTTGATTCCCGATGGGAGGCATGCAAACATTCAACGACTGATGAAATCACGATTCTAGATTTAGACAGGAAGAAGGGAATTCTATGATAGCATCACATTGCTATCGGGTCAGGGTTTGCTTGTAGCTCACAAGCGAGAGAACGACATAAAGTGTCGAAAGACTGTTTTTAGGTTTATTATTTGATTGATAAATCGGACTAATGTCGTGATTACAATATATAGGCGTCTAAACCTAACACGTAACCCTAGCTAACCTGAACTCTATTAACCTAGCCGAACCCCTCCCACTCTCCTAGGCCTCTCGGCCAAACCACCCAAAATCCTAGCCCACACTTACGTACTACACTTTGATCCATGCACTAATGACCCAACTAACTAATGACTCAAACATAAACCCATAAAACAATTAAACATATGAAACTAACCCAAATCCCCAACCTATCTCTTCTCGTCAACGAGTGTCCATGGGTTGCTATCATTCCATCCCCCTTCAAATTCAACCTTGTCCCCAAGGTTGACATTCAACATCGTCCTCCTCGAACAAGCACATAATCCCTGGGCGCGTCGTAGTTGTTGCTCTTCCCAGGTCAACCTCCGGCCACCCGCAGCTCCGCGCGGTTGCCGCTCGAGCCCTCGTCCGCCTACCGCCATACCACGCCGCCCCCGAACTTGGCGATGGACTGGATGTCGCGCGACCCGTCGGGTGTTTGTGCCACTGCAGCTGGTCGCTCTTCATCCATGCTAGGCTGATTGCCTCCCGGAGGGATTACGGACGAAACATGCGAATGTCATCCGCGATCTCGGGTTTGAGCCCGCCCAGATAGGTTCCCACCAAGGCTTGCTGCGTCCAACCAACGCAACGATAAGCGAGCTTTACAAACTCGCGCTGATAATCCCGGAGCGACCCTGTCTAGCGAATACGAGAGAGAGCCTCGTCACAGCTTTCTCCCTTTGTTGGCCCAAATCGCGCCCACATCTCCTGCGCGAACAACTCCCATGAGATTGACTCTCCGGTATCCTTGTATGTCCGCTTCAACCACTACCACCATTGGTTCGCCTCACCCTCCAGGTGGAACGAAGCCAACGAAACCCGTTGCTCCTCTGGAACCTCGTGATACTCGAAAAATTGTTCGACTCGAGGAAACCACGCCCCTGGTTCCTCCCCTGCAAACCGCGGAAACTCAAGCCGAGCTAGCTTGGCGAGGAATCCCCCGCCGCTGCTCCTGCCGCCATCGGCCCCTCTGGAGGCCTCCCCGCTCTTCGGCTCACCCCCGCTGGAGCACCCGAAGTCGAGCCGTCGCCCGGAGTCTCCCGACGCCGAGGAACCACGACGCTCGCCGTCCTTCGCGGCTGGCGTCTCCTTCTCGCCAGCGCCACTGGTGTCGCCGTCGTTCACCAGCCCCTTGCCCTTGAGAAGGTCACAGATGGCTCGCTCCACCCTGTCAAACCGGCAGCCCAACGTGTGGAGGCCCTGGTCCACCCCGGTGAAACGCTCGCCTAGCGCCCGGAGGTTGAGGTCCGCCGCCTGCTGCCTGCCGCGCAGCTCCTCGATCGCCGCCTGCATCTCCCCCACGGTCTGCTCAAGCGCGGTACACCTTTCCGCAGCCGTCCCTACCATCGTGGGCTCTAACACCAATTGATAGCAACTCGTTGCTATCGGGTTAGGGTTTGCTTGTAGCTAACAAGCGAGAGAACGACGTAAAGTGTCGAAAGACTGTTTTTAGGTTTATTATTTGATTGATAAATCGGACTAATGTCGTGATTACAATATATAGGCGTCTAAACCTAACACGTAAACCTAGCTAACCTGAACTCTATTAACCTAGCCGAACCCCTCTCACTCTCCTAGGCCTCTCGGCCAAACCACCCAAAATCCTAGTCCACGCTAACGTACTACACTTTGATCCATGCACTAATGACCCAACTAACTAATGACTCAAAACATAAACCCATAAAACAATTAAACATATGAAACTAACCCAAATCCCCAACTTATCTCTAGATTGGGACAGATGCCATCACCGGCCGAGGATTTGTTTTGTGATTTTCGAATTGATGTTGACGGGAGGTGTTATTTTGGAACTGATGTTGGTGGGAGGCAAAGGCAGGAACTGGCGGGTGCGAAGGAGATCTGGAGATGCGGCTACGGTGAGATCCAGGTTGCACTGTCTCGGTGGCAACGATCAGAGCACCCTCCGATCTATAGTTGCTTCTTCTTCCTTGGAGGTGATGGGGCGGTGCAAGACGGCGATTTATAATCTCAACGTTGAGACCCTTTGCCAAATCGCCAAACGCATAACCCAAATTGCGGAACTTACTACTCCTCGTCGACGGGTGTGGTTGCGGTTGCATTCTCCATTTCCTTCTTCCCCACGTTGCCGTCACTGCCACCGGGTTGTTCTAGGTTGCTCTTGAAGGAAGGATTCGGGGGCTCGAGATGAGCAGTGGTGGAGATGAGCCGTTGTGGGGTGGAAGGGGAAAAAAGAGAGAAGGGAGAGAGAGAAAAGAAAAAAAGTTTAATTTATTTATTTTTACTTTTTTAATTAATACCAACTCATATTGTTATTGATGAATCGTCGCCAACTCAGCATTTTCCCTCAACCCAATTAGACCGTGAATTGACACCATTAAATGAATCGACAGAAATGGCTATTTTGTGTTTTCCGATAGTTGTGGCTATATTTGTCACAAAGATGAAAGTTATGGCTATACAAGTATATTTTGTCAATATATATATATATTGCAGCGAGTTCTACGGTACCCAGGGTAAAATCCGGGGTACCGCATACCTTGAGTATGAAAACGCTATCCAGACCTTGAATTGACTGATGTTTCGGACATGATACTATACTATAACCCGTAAAGATAAAAATCTAGGTCTTAATTCTCTAAATCTTAAACAGCAACATCGATTTAATTAGAAACAATAATCGACGATTATGATTCGTCCAAATATAGGCAAAAAATGAATGCGTCATCTTAAGGTTTTATAGTTTATAATTTAGATAATTAGGACCTAGAGTTCACTTATTAATTAAGGTTTAGGGTAGACTATCGGGCCCAAGAATCATGATAATTCGATATCTAGATAGCATTTTCCTTCTATTGCAAATTATTTTTTTTTTTTTTTTTGTTCGGTTTGTATGTCAACGAATGAGTAGTTATAATGAAATTTTAAAATAATGTGGCTTGTGTAGATTCAATGGGGTGGAGTTCTTGAGGAGGATGAAAGGGAAGAAGATAATGTTCGTAGGGGACTCGTTGAGTATGAATCAGTACGAGTCCCTATTGTGCATGCTTCATGCAGCTGCTCCCAATTCAAACATCACCCGTCTTGCCCAACCTTTTCCAACCGTCATGTTCCAGGTCAAACATTATAATTTATTTCCCCTCCTCTCTCTCAAACCAAACTTACATCTCATCAATCCTTCCAAGCTATTATGTATTGTTACAATATTCAAACTGAAATACAAATACATTATCTTCCTAACCTATGTTAATGATTAAAAATTTAAAATTTCTACATCTTAATAGCAATTTTTAAACATTTATATTTCAAATTCAGTCTTAATCGTTTCAAAATAGGATGATTATTTTGTTACATTTTGATTTATATTGTAGTATTCTTAATCATCTACAAAAGGTATGACTCATGTTACCACGATTTCAATTGTAAACACCATCTAGACATCTTTACCACGATTTCAATTGTAACCACGATCTAGATAATCCTTCTCCTCGAATATAATATAGCTGAGTTTTATTAACTTTCTTCATTTTAAATTTCATGGCTTCTCCTTAATTTTAGGTAGTAATATAATAGTATATATATATATTCACTTTATATTCCCAAGCAGGCAAAACAAAACCCATGTCAGAAAGTAGGGTTAGGAAAATAGACCAGACCGTTAGAAAACTCGTGGTCCAAACCGTACCGGACAGTTTGGTCCGGACTGTAGACCGTGAAGTATGGTCTGGTCTGGTCCATTGTCGGTATTATTTTATGATTTGATCTCTTGGTCTGATCTGGTCTAGACCGTGGTTTACCGGACCAAACCGTGGACCCAACTGACTTGTCAATACGTATTAACAGCCCATTCGACCACTCTCCAAACTCCCAAAACGACACCCAAGTCTCAATCTTAATTTTGTGAATCTCTTCCCTCCTTCATTCACAACCACAACCAGAGAGTAGAGATTATAGTGTCTCCATATGACATTATGTTAATGTTTATGACGTTATGGTGCAAGCTGGGATGTTTTTACTTTGTATCTTTGTTATGTACTAAGATTTAGAGTATCAAAATTATTCATGCATGTTAGGATTAATGTTTTAAGGCAAATAACAATTAATTTTCTTGGTTATTGGTTCAATTTTTTGTGTGGTTGACTAAACAAATTATTTATTTTTCGTTGAGTGTGGTCTATCAGGACCAGACCAGACCGAACCAGACCGCACAGGCGTGGTTTGGACCGAACAGTATAGTCTGTGGTCTGGTCTGTGGTCTATACTTTAGCCTCTCGGTCTGGACCATAAACCGTATATATGGTCTAGTATGTACCAGATCGCACCGTTTCCCAACCCTATCAGAAAGGGTTAGGAGGTGGAGTGCGTTTTCTCTAATTACTTAGTTTTATTAAATTAATATTTAATGTAGCAGAGTTTTTTAGTTAAAAAAATTCTTTCATTTTTTATTGCTTTCTATTTGGTAAGATTTTAGTGTTTATAATATCATTGATCTTCAAGAATGCTAAATTGGTTCATAAAGATGACTATTGGTTTTAACTATTATGCTATCTATAGAGTTGGGATATGTGGTAACAGTAATTTTAACATTGAGAGATAATGACTTGTAATTGGTGTATTTTTATGAATAATAAAATTGAAATTTGGATTTTTTTATTTCGTTGACTAAGGGTTAATTCTAGAAAATGAAAGTGTAGGTGTTAAGGTTTTGTTCACTTATTTGTGTTCGGGAATTATGATAAACTTAAAATAACGTGACACTAAACATTGCAAAATGGTGAAAGTTTTATAGGAAACACGTACTAGGTTATATAGGTACATAGCCTACATTCATGAAGACGTGCATAACTGACTTATAATTCTTGGATTTAGGAGATCGAATGACATAAGTTATGGAAATATATGTTTTTTTCTTATTGCAATAGAGGGATGAGAATGTCATGACATAATTACAAAACATACTCATAGTATTGTTAAGACTTAGATGATTTTATAAATAAAATATTCAATTGAGAATCGTTAAGAAAAAATCTTAGTGGAGATAGTTTATTAAATAATAAATTCAAATCTTTTGGCCAACCGGTCGGGTACATGCTAGTTAATAATACATTTTAAATGGTTTGGTTTGCTCCATTTCAAATTTCTTGCAATGAGAATGAAATTAGGAAGAGTTTTTCTGTTTTCATAATTATTTATTTATTTCGCATAAAAATATAGGAACACCAAGATTTGAACAATGGTCTCCTTATTCAAAGACAACAATCATAACCAATTACACAAAACAACTATGATGTATCTTTTTTATTACAAACCATACACATAATTAAAATCTGAAACATAGAGGAATTTCGCATAACGATTAATTGGCACACTAAGTCTCCTTTAAGTATTTTTATGGTTCTTTACAGTTCAATTTTAATATTTTAATTGGATTTTAATAAGTAATTATTGCTTATAACTTTTAAATGAATGATAATCTTAAAACCGCAACACAAAATCATCATCGCACAATTTTTTGCTACTCATACTTGAGTTATGTTGAATTGAAACTAACAGTAAATTCCTCTAAAAAATCAATTATTGACGATCCAAAATTCTCCGATGCGGTGAAATCAAGTTGCCCCTAAAAGTATAGAAATCCACCACTTTTTATCAAATATGACAGTGGAATCAAGGTCTTGGAGACTTTATTGTTCCATCTTTTGCATGTCTCAACGAGAAAGGATTTTATGATGCTTCGGACGGGATGCGATATAATTCGAGAGCCTTTTGTCTTTAACACGAGCTTTATGTCATTTGAATCGATCTAATTTTTTGTGTACTATAAAATTTTCTATATAAATTACGATTTTATAATAATTTTCAGTGATGAAAATTATGGCGATGCACAACTCCTCTCACGAGAGTTAAAGTTCAAACCTAAACACTAATCCCCACTAAATCATTAACAAATTTAAACAAGTTGAAAATAAAAGATGGATAGGTGATACACCCATTTTCAATCTAACCAGTAATTGATATTCAAAATGCTTATGTTTTCTCTAATATTCATTGACCGTTTGGTACCAAATGAATTAAAAATTCATTTCATTTTAAAATGCATTACTTTGTAGAATTAATTGTCAAATAAATTCTTGTGTTTTTTATGTCTTATTTTATTCTTTAGAAATAAAATAAATTGTATTATCAAACCATGTTTGGCATAAATTCAGAATCAGATTAAACTAAAAGTTTCCAACTATACCCTGATTAATTACCCACATAAATAATATTCTTTGAAAATCCATCTTCTAAAACACGCAGACAAAGTTATTATCCAGAAATTTGGAATTAGTAGGAGAGTTGATTCCATTGCCAAAGAGCAGGTTGCCGCTTAGCCCACCTAATGGAATTTGGAGTCGCCCAGTATGCAGAGTTTATAAGAAACTATATATATCATGTTAACATACCGGCAAAAAAGTAGGGCTAGGCGTGCATAATCAGTGTATTGTCGCCTGTAGAAGTAATTTAGTTAATAAATAAAGATAATTATGTCATTCCGGTGAAATGCTTTTGGAATTCATTTGGAAATTCCATCTCAATTCCGCGAAATTACTATAACTAGCTCCAATTTCGTAGAATTCAAAATTTAGAATCGAAAATTAATTATTTTAAATACCAAACACAAAAGTATTTTATTTCTCCTTAAAAAAATTCAATTCAAAATGAATTTCTAAAAACATATGGAATTCATTTATACCAAACGGTATATTAAGGTCAATGCATAGTTCATCCAATGCGGAGTTGTCAAAATAAGAAGTGAGACTGAGATTTCAATGCATAACTTTCTTAAGACAAGATGTGATAGTATCCAAGAGCTTACTATCTTTAAATCGAGATTACTGAGCTTCATACCATTTGTATTAGTGTATTTTCTGTTTATTGTAAATTTGGAGTGTCTAAAAGAAATCATGGTCTCATAATAATCAATCAGAAAAAGTGATGGAGATGCACCATCTTCTCTAACATGAGTCAAAGATTAAAACCGATCATCAATCTCCACTAAAACATTGAAAGAAATAAAGGCACGAGATTTTGTAAAACTCAATTTTGTTAATATCTAATATCTTACTGTATCTCCAATATTTAGTGCAACCTATATCTATGCAAAATTGTCAAAATAAGGAATGAGGCTACCGTTTTGGTGCATAACCTTTTTTTTGCTTTAGCCACTCTAATTTAAACAAAAATCTCAAGCATTGCAACTAAGGATTTTTTCAACCTCACACAAATTTCGACTAACTAGTTTTCCCGGTAATTCTAACTATATTTATTTCTTCATATCAGATTAATTGAAAATTATTAATGAAAAAAATTAACAAATGCTATAGCGTGTATTTATGTGAATTTATTAAAACATCAAAGACAATACCCATTTTGTAATACTATCTTTACTATTCCATTTTTTTTAACTTCAAATCATTCGAGAAAAGAACTTTGTACCAACTAAACATATATAGTTTTCGACTAAACATTTTGCCTCATTGTTGTCGGTTTAAAAGTTCAGGTTCCAGTTTCAAGTTATGCAATTGCAAATATTTAATTTGTGCTTAGGGTTTAGTGTATTTGGTGATGGAGATAATAACGATTTGAGGGGGGAAAAGAAACTATTGATATTGGAAATACATATTTCAATGATAGAGAGAAAGAGTCAATATATGATAATATTCACGATTTGGATAAGATAAAATATACTTAGCAGAGATTGTATTTTATATGAGTTTATGACTTTTCAATAGTAAAATAATTTGCATTCTTTTCATATACCAAATCAAATGTAATTCCATCAAATATCGCTATTATTGTTTAACATTAATTAGAATTATTCGGACAACGGGCTGGATCCACCGACCCACATCCGATACATTTTTTTTTTGTCAAAGTTAGCGGTAACATAGAGTCATAAATAGAAGAAAGAAGAGCGCGGGAGTCGACTAATCGCCGAGCTCCCGATGAAAGGGCTTTTTGTGCCACAAGATGGAAGGCCCTATTAAGTCGACAAGAGACAAAACAAAACGAAACGAAGCTGAATTGGGACGCCAACGCCCTTGCATCTTCGAGTACCGTCCCACTCCGATCGTGTGCCAAATTACTCCTCACCATCCGTTGAATCAATTGTTGTGAGTCTCCATTGTAAAGCATCTCTAAGAGCCTTAGCATCAAGTGATGAATCACCAACATGGAGAATTCAATAGTCCAAGAAGCCTCCCTGCAAACCAACATAGAGAAAACGAAACTAGGACCATAAAATGCAATAAACCATTTAAAGGATACAACGCTCCATCCGTAGCCATAGGGAACCTGCAAAATAAGAAAATAAAAAACAAGCCAGGGGATCTTGTGGCAGCCACTTGGACATCCTCACAGTCGAGAAGTCGAACTGAAGGAGAGCCCAGGCGAACGGCACAATCAACGAGCATGATGTTGAAAGCCGTTATCGGGCTGCACCCACGAAGCATTATATGCAATCTACTAACAGAGAGGAAATCTAACCGATCTATTTTTTTCTCTCATGAATTTCATTTTCAAACTTACGCAATAATTGTAGAAGTAATAAACGAAAAGTGCCAAAAGAATAATTGAAAAACAAATAAATTATGGAGGATAATTATAAAGAATACTAAAGAAATAATAAAAATACCAAGAGAGGGATACTTATCGGAACCGTCGTTAGTGGTAGCGTAACCGTCACACTGCGTCAGGATTGTAACCGCCGTCTGGAAAAACCGTCGCTCTGCCCCTCCCCGTTACGAACCCCACGACACAGCCCGAATCCCAACCTGCAACCATCACACCGGACTTCCGCAACTTCATCTCCCGCCGCTCCTCCTCCGTCGGCCAGTGCTTCTCCCAGCGCCGCCCTTGAACGGAACTCATCGACTGCTCCGCCGCATTCGCTCTCCCTGACTCCCACACCGAAGTCGCCATCCGGATCCGCAAGACATCCAAGTCGCCCTGACTCCTTGGACGGAACTTATAATTCCATTAGCATCAATCAAAGGGAAATTGAAATCCAATCAATTCCAATCTTCCGCAGCTGCTTCAGAGACAGAGTGCATCCGATACATTTACGGAAAGGACATTTTGTAGTCTAGTAGAAATCCCCATCCCACTCCCACGAACTTCCATTTCCCAATTATCATCTCCAATTTGGGACGGAGGCCATTTCTTTATTCCTTCTCTGCATGGGCTCACCTGGCAATACAACATTTTTTTATACATAAGTGTGATATAGGTTTTTTTGCCATGAGGTACTATTTGAGATAGAGAAATTTTACAATGCTATATAGTATTGGTGCTATAAGTTTTTGCCTTTATGGTACAACTTAAAATTGTACATTTACGTTATGGTACAACTTTAGATTGTACCTATACTTTTTGTACATATTCTTTTATGGTACTACTTGAACTTGTACCTTTATGTGATGGTACAACTTCAAGTTGTAAAGTTGTACCATAACATAATGGTATAAATTGCTTTATGGTACAACCTAAACTTATACATTTAATGTTATGGTACAACTTTGAGTTGTACATTAAAGCACCAATGTTATATAGCATAGTAGAAGTGCTCTTTGAGATATTCAAACATTGGACATTCAGTTAAAGGCTAGTGATTTTATCACTAGATTAACCTATTGTTCGTCAAAAGTTTGGATCATTTAGAGATAATTATTTTTTAAACATTTGCTTTGTATGTATGTAATCTGATTTTTTGTTTTTGGGTTGATCAGGATTATGAAGTGTCAATAATGTTGTTCACAAGCCATTATTTGGTAGACATCGAGCAGGACAAGATAGGTCGTCGTGTCTTAAATCTTGGTTTAGTAAGCAGTGGCAATCTTTGGAAGCAAATGGATGTACTGATTTTCAACACATGGCTTTGGTGGTACAGGAAAGGTCCTAAGCAAGGGTATGTAATGTATGCCTTTGGATCATCGCCCAATAGTAATAAGAACAGGAAAAGATGCACTAATTATCACGTTGATTATGCAATTTCAGATGGAATTACATTCGAGATGGGAAGATCATATCTAAGGACATGAACAGAATGACGGCCTTCACAAAAGCCTTGCGAACATGGGCAAAATGGGTTGATTCAAGCGTAGATACAACGAAAACAAGTGTATTCTTTCAAGGAGTTTCTCCTGCTCACTACAAGTAAGGAAACATGACATCCCAGCGCTGAGCTGAGAAACACCTTGATATTGGCTTCTCGATAGACAAGTTAGTTAGATTTTTGGATTCGAATTGTATAGAACTAACTTTGTGTTTATTATTTTAATTTGATGTACGCAGTGGGGCCGCTTGGGGGAGGCCAAGAGCGAGAGATTGTTCTAACGAGACAAAACCAATAGCAGGAGGATTAACCCAGTCCGTGGTCCCATTGGCGTTAAAAGTTCAACAAGACATCATAGGAAGCATAAGGAAACCGGTTCACTTCCTGAATATAACTGCAATGTCATACATGAGAAAAGATGGACACCCAGCCTCACACAATGGCCTTGGGGGCATGGACTGCACGCACTGGTGCATTGCTGGTGTCCCTGATACTTGGAATCATATCCTCTCAACGATCCTCATTTATTCAGGAAAAAGAGGGAAAGAAAGCAAGAAACTACCACGGCAAACTCTTGCACATAAATAATCAGGGTTGGATCCATCCAATAAAAAACCAAACAGGGTCTTGGTTGGATTGGGTGATTAGATTGTTGCTCTTTCCTTGAAACAACACTAGTTCATGATTATTGGCGATTCTTGCATGTTCTTGAAGCAAACTGTTGATTGTGATTAGTCTGATGTGCTTTACTATAAAAATCCCATACACGTTAGCTTATTTTCAAAGTCGTTCATATAATTATTATAAGCTCAAGGTTAACAGTGGGAATAATTGAGAAGCAATGTCTCATCCTTGGGACTCAAAGCACAACCTTTGCTTGGGGTGGTTGAACCCACCCACGTGTCTTTATAAATCCACTCCAATTGACCTGCCCAATTGTGAGCGGGTTCTATGGATGGGTATGGATACTAATATAGGTAATCCACTATTCATTGGGAGAGTATGGGTGGATTATGGTTTACTCACGACGAATTGATAATATCAAAATCAGTGTTATTTATCCTCCATTTTAGGGTGTGTTTTGTGCCAATTCATGTGTTTAAACATCTAAACATTGTCAATATGTGCAAATTAGGTACAAGGTCACAAGTGTAGAAAAGGGGCAAGGATCAAAGATCATGGCATAAAAGGCAAAGATCACGGCCGGGATTTCCAGTCATGAAGACTCGCTGAAAATCGCAGCCCAGAAGCCAAAGATCGCGACCGCGATCTTGAGAGTTTCCCCAGTCGCATCACGACCAACGTTCACTTTGCCCGCGAGGATCGGAAGATCACGGTCACGACTCGAGGATTGCTACCGCGAAATCAGCCCGCGATCTTCTCCCTTTAGAAGGTTATAACGACGTCGTCTTGAGATCGTGGCCTATCCTCAGAAGATCCCGCCTGCAATCTCCCAGCCTCTGGCCGCGAACTTCCCCGAGTCCAAAATGCCTATAAATAGAAGACCCATTTCCCCATTTTAAGTGAGCTGATTTTGGGTGAAATTTCTGGATCTAGAGAGAGAGAAGCTGAAGGGGGAAGAAGGAGGAGATAAGAGCAAGGAGGATCTTCCCCAACTTCAAGTCTTCTTCTATTTCTACCATGTATCTTCTTCCCTCCTTTATGGAGTAGTCCTCTGATAGACCGTTAATTACACATGTTTTCACCCCTGTTCTTACACCGTTTGAGATGTGGTTTCTCGTGTTTTAGGCCGATTTCACGCTAGGTTGTGTTTGTTTGTGATATTTCAGGTCCTAGTACGTGAATGGAGGCTTGGGAGCGAGTTTGGGGTCGATTGGACGAAGATCGGGCGCGAGGCAAGTCAAAAAGGAGGCCACACGGGCACACCCACAACTCACACGGCCGTGCAAGTGACCACTTTGGCTGTGTGAGATTGTGCGAGAGCAAACACGGCTTGCCCTAATTTTCACACGGCCGTGTGAATGAGTGGTCTGGCCGTGCGAGTTTCGCCGAGAGCAAACATGGGCAGATGGAAATCCCACACGACTGTGCGACCCTAGCCGTGTGAGAAGCCTGAAGATCGAACTAATTGGAACGCAGTGTTTTGACTCACACGGACAACTGGGTATGCCACACGGCCGTGTGGCCCTGCCCGTGTGAGTCGGGAATTCCTGGTTTTAACCCAATTCCGGGCTGCAAGAGAGAGAATCGGACTTTTTGAGCAAAAACAGAGCCCTAGAGAGAGAAAGGACGAAGAACACACCCTAGAAGCTATCTTGGAGCTGGGTTTCATCAAATCAAGCTTGGAGATCGTCATAGGAGTGGAAATCATCATTCCAGAGCATATTCTTCCCATAATCATGAGTATGACTGCTTTGTATCTTGTTTTCCTCTCTCTCTCTCTCTATGGAGTAGAACCCATCTCTCACTTGGGGATGAAGAACCCTAGTTCTATGTGTTAGGGATTGATTGTAATGACTTGGGATGATATTACTGTTTGATTTTAATCGAATGATGCATGTTTATTGAGTCAATTGAAGTCTGATCAACTTTTCCTGATTCCTGCTGCAATCTGAGATAGATAGAATCTGATTAGGTTGCTAGAGTCTCATTATTCGATAGTAGGAGATTGGCTATACGAGAGTTAGTCAGTTTACTGCTTTGTACTGGAATCCAATTCCAGTAGTGGAGTTCTGTTCTTACTGCTTCAGCTTTCTATCCCGGTGAAGACTAGTCGTCTGTCGGGTAGTTAGACTGAGAGAGCTTGGTCAGCTTAAGAGATTCCAAGCTACTGTCGGATCTTCCGCAGTCTAATCAACAGTAAATCAACCCAGGGAAATACAATTGAAACCTAACTAAGGAGCTAGGGGGATTCATTCCCGAGTGACTCTTACCTGCTTGAGAAAACCGTATCAATTCCTGCTTTCTTTCTGCTTTTGCTTTTAAACAAAAATCATTTACTTTAGTTGGCTAGATAATAGAGAATCACGGAGTAAGCAGTAGATCTAGACCCCGGGTTGATAATATAACTTGCCTGTTACTGCATTCCCGGTCTGCGATTACACTTGGTCGCAGATTGGTGTTGTGTTTTGGCGTGTCATCCTCTAAGGTACTAGGGGTTCTAAACCCCAAACTCTAGTTTTAACGTTTATTATGTATGTATGTATGTATGTATGTATGTATGTATGTATGTATGTATGTATGTATGTATGTATGTATGTATGAATGAATATTTTAGGGTTTGAATGAATGAATGTGCTTGTCTAGTAGATTCTTAATGTCACTCTTTCCAAAATGATGACGCTTGGGCAACTGGCCCCATTCTTCCCTCTTAGCCTGCTTTATGCTACCGCGCTAGGTACAGAGTTCTAGGGTTAGACAGGTATGCGCCATCTGGCGAGTTTAGGTTAGATGAGTGAATGGGGGCTTATAGTGTTCGAAGCGGCCAAACCCCTGCTATAGGTAGCCTTCCTAGATGAAACCCGGGATGAAACCTCGGTGTGAAAGGTGGATAGTGTCCATTGAAATTAACCATTAGCTTATTTCCCCAGATACGATAGCCTAGATCGAGGTGACTGAAACATGGGTTTAGGAGAGGCGTATGGATAACGATTAAGGCCCACGGAAAAGAGCTCACACACCACATTCGATAACGCTAAGTATCTATACATGCATAGTATCCCTAAGCTAGGGGAGGATTAGTTCCTGAAGCATAGTTAGTAAATACTCCATTTAATACACGTATATGTACCCCTACGTACTTTATCCGTTTAAAACTTTCGTATCCGTATTATTGTCAAGCTGTTTATTTTTCCCCTTTCATTTGATGGCTCCCGTACTAAACACGTATAAAACCCGTATAACACGTTTATTATCCGTATTTTATGAATTAAATTGTTAACATGCACAGATTCAAGTGATCAAGCTTTTTGGCGCAGTTGCCGGAAACCCTTGGTAACTAGTAGAAAACCATTAAGTTGTTAGTTAGTTTTTATCTTGGTTTAGTTGTTTGTTTTGTGTTATGTATGTGTTTGTGTTGTTAGTTTATTTCGTTTTGTTTTTACGCTCTCGTTTCGTAGTTTGCTTTCATAGTGGTATCCTTGTTTCTATAGTTATCCAACTTTGTACGTCACTGGTCATGGAAGTTTTTGTGTGTAAATAGACTTTTGCCATGGATCCATCCGAGCTAAGGCGTATTGCTGAGGAAACTATTGGTATGCTCCGCCAGCAATCTCAATTTCACGGAAGGGATGGTGAAAGTGCCATCGATCATATCGCCTACTTCTTAAAGGCGCTCAAGGTGTTGAAGATTTAGGGATTCAATCAAGATCAATCAAACATTATCTTCTTTACTTACCCCCTGCTGACCCAACATTTTGGTAAAAGAGTTCATATCCACCGCTCCCTCCTGGGGCCAAGACATGGAAGCATTTGTGTTTTAGTATCTTGTTGGAACAATGGTCGTCCTGTGAAGGAAGGAGATTGATACTTTTCAACTAGAGAGCCAAGAAAATTTTCAACAAGTTTTGGAAAGATTTGAGGAGTTGGTGCAAAGAAGCCCAAGATATGCATATTCTAACAAGCAACTCAATATAATCTTCTACAAGGGGATTTTTGACACATTCAAGGGGCTGATCGAGAGAAGATATCCCACCTGTTTTCAATACAATGATTAGGAGAAAGTGGAAGAGCTATGCAATTATATCAAACAGGAGGAAGAACTTCAGATTCAAGTACTAGCTATTCAAGGTCAGATAAACGAGATTGGCAAGGAACTTGAGAGACTAAATGAAGCAATCAATGCGGATCCACCTCGGGTATAGAAAGACTTTGCTATAAATACAAGGTTCCCTCCTCAATCTAGTGTCTCTTCCCCTCCTTCGGAGCAAGATCGATATAACATGGTAATTGAATAGTGCGCATCTTATGTAGGAGTTGAGACGACGGTTCGAGCGTTTGGAGGAGAGAGTCTCTGATTGGGTTTTGATCTGTCATCAACGAATGAATGACTTAGGAGACAATATGGTAATATACCTATCAAATGACCTCTGTGGGACTTCAACCTCGTTCACCTCCAATGAAGGGACGAGATCCACAAACAGTCAAGCTTCTCCAACCATTTCATATTCAAGGATTGATCCCATACCTCCCTCCCATAAGAGCAAGTGTGGGGGGATGTTTGTGCATCATTGAATGTTTATCATGATTGGTGCTACCATTTATTGCTAGTATCCTCCCTTGTTCGTGAATGTAAGACGTTGATGAATGCTTATGATGCGACATCGACTAGCGTGATATTTAATTTCCGTGGTCCAAAGATGAAGGTTCGAATAAGAAAATATAAGGATCAATTGGGAGCATTCAATAAATTGTGTTCACAATTTATTTGTGCTACCAATTCAAGGACGTGACGAAGCTAATTGCATGGCCTGGAAGCTTGAACGTGTGGTGAATTCCATTTAATGGAAAATATACAAAAGGCCAAGAGCTAGATTACATGAAGAAAGGTTGGCACGTGCGTGTGCATGAGGTGGATAGAGATGTCAAAATTGAACCCGACACGACTAACCCGTCCAACCCACCCGACCCACAACCAGTTCGTAACCCAATTTGACAAAAAGTCAACCATCCGAAGCCCGTCCGTAACCCGAAACTAATTGACCTGTAATCCGATCAATCCATTACTCGATGAACTCGTGATCCGATCCAACCCATAACCCGAATGATTCATAACCCAAATAACTCGTAACCGAACCCAACTCGAATAACCCGAATGCATGTACAAAAATTCAATATATACATTATTATACTTTTAAATTTACCAAGAAAGAACTGTTGTTCTCATA